GCGGCGAGGGCGGCGGCTGGGGGGCGGCGGAGCCGTCGTAGGCGGCGAGCACCTCGCGCGCCTCGTCGACGAGGTCGGCAAAGGCGGCGGCGGCCGCCGCCGCGTCGGGAGCGTACAGGAGCTCGAGCAGCTCCGAGTCGTTCATCTCGAGTAGCATGCCCGTCATCTTGCCCGCGCGCTCGTCGTCGAGATGTTGCAGCACCGCGTAGATGCGCTCGCCGAGCTCGACGTCTCGCTCCGCCTCGCTCAAGCCCTCGAGCGCCGCGCCCGTCAGCGGCGGCGCCTCGCGCAGCGCCGCGATCGCCGCCGCCGCCGCCGCCAGCCGCGCCGCGCGCGATGCTGCGCCCTCCGCCTCCGCGCCGCCCCCACCTGCCAGCTCGAGCGCCGCGGCGGCCGCTTCCGGCGCGTCCACCGCCGGCGCCAGCCCCAGCATGCCCCTGAGCACTCGGCTCGCGCCACCCAGCACGCCCTCCTCCTCGTCGTCCGCCGCGGCGGGCGAGGGGGGCGCGGCGGCGGCGGGTGCAGCGGCGGGCGCGGGTGCAGCGGCGGGCGCGGGTGCGGATGCGGCGGCGGCTTTGGCTAGCCGCTCGCCCATGAGAACCTTAGCGAAGGAGAAGCCTCCGGGGAGCCCCCACGGCGCGGCGGGCGGCTCAGGCCGCACGAGCAGTCTCTCCGCCTGTGGAGAGCGAGTTGGAAGGGGGTGACGGTATGGCGGCGGGGGGGGCGAGGATCGCACGGGCGCGCTCTTCCGCCTCTCCGCCGCCCGCGCCGCCCCGCCCGTCGCTTTCCGGCGCCGGAGCGTCCGCGAGCGCCTCGAGCCTCGCCTCCTCCTCCTCGGCGTGCGCCTTTGCCTCCTCGCGCGCCTCGCGGTCGTCCTGCTCCGCCGCCGCCGCCGCCGCCTCCGGCTCGCCCTCCTCGTCCTCCTTTGCGCCGTCGGGTGGCGCGCCCGCCGCCTCGGGGTGGTCGACGAGGTACTGCAGCTCGCTGGTCGCAACCTCGGCGAGCAGCCGGCCGAGCCGCAGCCCGACGGGGGCCCGCCCCTCGACGAGGTAGCCGCCGAGGGCGGGCAGCAGCTTGCGGTAGGCGGCAAAGAGGCGGGAGAGCCCGTCGTTCTCGATCTGCAGCCCGGGCGGGTGCGGGAGGAAGTCGTTTCCCACGAGGAACGAGAGCGCGACCAGGTCGTCGAGCACGCGCTCGAGCGAGTAGCCAAAGGGGAGCACCGAGCTGCGGAACTCGAGGTCGATGTACCGCCGCAGCAGGCCGACGTGCAGCAACACGAACTCGCCCGTCGCCGCCAGCGACTGCTTGCGCTGGTCGTCGGCCGACGCGCGCCGAAACACAACCTTCTCGCGCAGGATGCAGAGCGCCGGCGCGTGCGTCGCCAGGCCGAGCATGATCAGGTCGGCGTCGAGGCCGTAGACGCAGTGGCGGCGCGGCAGCTCGCGCGCCGAGCGGATGTGCTCTGCGATCTTGTGCTCGCCCTCGCCCGGCGCCTCGGCCGAGGAGAGGACGACGCGCAGCCGGCGCCAGAGCTCGTCGGTCTGAAGCTTGTGCCGGATGAAGTAGCTCAGCACCTCCGTCACCCGCGCCATGAAGGCGGTCCCGGGGGTGATGCAGTTCGAGTCAAAGGGCTCCGCCGCCGCCGCCTCCGCCTCCGCCGCCTCCGACTCCGCCGCCGCCGCCGCCGCCGCCTCTGCTGCCGCCTCTGCTGCCGCCTCCGTTGCTCCTGCATCCGCCGCCGCCTCGCCCGCGCCGCCCGCCACGGCAGCAGCCGCCTCGTCCGGCTCGTCCGCCGGTGCCGCCGGTGCGGTGCGCCCTCGCGCGGGCGCGGCGCCGCCCGCCGCCGCGCCGCCGCTGGCCGCGGATTCGGCGAGCCTCTGTCGCTTGGCCTCCGCCTCGGCCTCCTCGGCCTCCTTGGCCTGCTCGCGCTCGCGCTCGACGCGGAAGCGGCGCTGCCGCTGCTGATTCATCTTGGCGCGCGGCGCGACGCCGTCGATGGCGACGTACAGCAGCCGCTGCGGCCGCACGAGCTGGACGAGCGTGTCGAGGTACGAGCAGATGGCGAGCATCATGTCCGCCTCGGTCGGCGCGGCAGCGCCGTTGCGCGCCGGAGGCTTGTTGGCCCCGTGGGTCGCGTTGTGGAGGATGCCGTTCGCGTCGATGTACAGGTTGTCCACCTCGGCAAAGGGCGGCGACGAGGCCGGCCGGTTGATGAGCGGGTAGCGCTCGCTGAGCCAGCGGTAGAGCAGCGGCACGCCCATATCCTCGAAACGATTGACGCGGCGTCCCGCCCGTGCCACCCACACCGAGGGTCCTGCGCCCGATTGAGCCGCTTCCGTGGCCTCGGAGGAGTGAGCGGCCGGTCTCGAGGTCTCGAGGTTGATTGCCCCTCCCAGTTGCGTGTGTGTGTGTGGAGGCAACCGATGCGAGTCGACTGGTGTGTGTCGTCGTGGTTTCGTATCAAGAATACTCACTCACACACCCCTCCCCCCCCCCGCCCCCCGGGACTGTGGTTCGCCTTCGAATTCCTATTGAGGGTTGGTGATTGTGTGACGCGATCCACGGGATAGGAGAACGACATCAATGCGATCTCAGGGACGCTTTCCCGATCGATCCGTAACGTGTAAGCGCAGCCCGGCCCGATCGGAGACGCCGCTCCTCCACAGCGGTGCACCGACTTCCAGTCGGTCCATGCGTGTGTCTATGGCGCCGCAGTGCATGCACGAGATGGGCCCGGGTCACTGCCCAACCGGATACTATGCGGGCTGGGACGCTTCCATCGCCACCGAGGAGCTGTGCAAGGCCCAGTGCCTCGCCGAGGACGAGTGCATGTTTGCTTCGCTCAAGGTGGGCCACACCTGCAGCCGCTACAACTCAAACGCGGGCAACTGCGACCCGCTCATTGGAACAGACCACACGACATGGGCGAAGCAGGGGTGCTCGGGCGCGGTGTGGGCGCGGACGCCGAGCCTGCACGTCCACCTGTCGACGACCCTCGACGAGCCGAGCGACAACGAAGCGTGGGGGCTTCAAGACGTGCGGCTGTTCTTCGCAAGCGCGCCGCCAGCGTCGCCACCACCGCCCGCCAATCCACCGGATCCGCCGGCGCCACCCCCGCCAACACCCCCGCCGCCCCCGCCGCCAACACCCCCTCCTCTCCCTCCTTTTGCGCCGCACACCGACCGCTTCCTGACAGGAACGTGGATGCACGTGTCGCGAGGACAAAAGGTGGCCACAGTCCATGGTCTGTCGGCCTTCACGCTCGAATTCACATTCCGCCTGCATGCAAACCCTTACGACTACCATGCCGAGCGAACCATCCTACGCATTGGTCGCGACAACGGGCAGACCAACAGCCATCACCAATTCGGGTACCGCCTGCCCCTCGTTGGTGTGCGCAATTTTGACGGCGGCTCGAGTCACAGCCCCGTCATGTATGTCGACCACCTCAACGAGTACGAGCTATCGCATGATCAGCGGCGCGTCGAGTTCCCGCTGCCATTCTACTCGCCCCCACCCCTGCCTCCGGCCTCGCCACAGCCACCCGTGGCTCCCGGTTGGACCGTTGCTTCCGTTGATACATTTCCTGGAGCAACAGGCTGGGCAAGCAACAGGCGGCTTGATGTCACACATTGCGGCGTGCATGGTTCGATGCTCGGCGGACACGGGGTCTTTGGAGGAGGGGCCTACATCGAGAAAACGTTCGACCTCAGCGGCGTGCGCGAAAGCGGTGACCCGCCGCATGCGCGCGTTCGGATCGAGCTCACCTTTTTCGCAATTGACTCCTGAACACGCCACCGTCACCGCCGCCCCCACCAGGAGGACTCGATGCCATTGCGCGGACTCGGATCCCATTGCGCGCAGGTCAAGGGGCATCAGGTGGCAAAGAGGCGGCGGGCGCGTATCTCGCCTCGCCGGCGCCGCCGTCGCCGCCGTCGCCGTCGCCGCCGCTGTCACTTCCAGGAGTTGGTGCTGAACGGGTCGAGGCGCTGGCGGCGGGGGATGTGGAGGATGGAGACAAGGAAGATGTGGTGGCGTATTCCGCGCCACCGTCGTGCTGGCATCAATGCCACGGCGAGGCTGGCGCATGCGACTTTTGTGGCGCAGGCTTCGCTTGCTGCCGTCCTGACGCCGACAACGATCCGTGGCCGTGCCCTTCAAACATACCATCGGAATACAACTACCACCACTGCACGTCTGCCCAACCAGCTGGGGGGCCAACGGGCGAGGTCTCAATGGAGCACACGATTCGCGTTGAGATAACAATCTCATCCATGACTGTCACCCTCGATGGAGCATCCAAAGGCTCGGTTAATCTCTATGATGGAGAACACAATCGGAATCCACCATTGTTTGAGGAGCAGCACGACGTCTGGATTAGCGACTACGCTTACAGCAAAGCGTTTGCTGAGGTTCGCGACATCGTCATCGAGCGCTTTCCGCCACCACCGTCGCCGCCGCCTTCCCCACCAACTTCCCCGCCACCACCATCGCCGCCGCCACCGCCGTCATCTCGAATGGGGGCGCATCGATGCAGTAATGTGCGAGATCGAGGTGAGCGTCGCGCCCTCGGTCTGCTGCGACGTCTTCCAAGGTCAGATACGGCACGGACGGGGCGTGGCGCGCCTGGTTCATCAAGGACGTGAAAAGATCATCACCCCGAAGCATTCGGTCCAATGTCGAGGGTTTGGCGGAGAGCGCACCCACACGCGACGCGCGATTGCGTTGCGCCAGTGGCCAGCCTCACGCACGCTAAGCCGTGTCAGCTCACGAACACGCGCCCGAGCGTCCGTTCGCGGGTGCTGTGGCAGCGTGTCGGTTGCAAAGATGTGCTGCGGGAGCGACGCGCGGTTCTCCTGAAAAACGAAGCTTGGGCTGAGGTCGCCAGAGATTGGCTCACAAGCACGGTGTGGCCGAGCGGGTTGCCTCGACGAAGGCCGCGATGCGCGCTAGGTCGCTGGCGTAGTCGCACTGCGTGAGGCCCGATGGGCGCCGCCGATCGGTCGCCCCGCCGTACCTGTTCACGGTTGCACGAGTGAAGAGACGTTACAGACGCACTCGGCAGACGCACTGCGTGCCCCATCATTGATGTGAGTACCACCCGATCCTTGCAGGCCAAATCGCGGTCGATCCTGGCGCAATCGTCTGCGACGCCGGGCAGCCAGCGACCTGGCGGGTGCGGCGGGGACCGGCACAGCCTAAGACAACGCTTAAGGCTGAGCGAGGTAAGTGCGGGGCAATGGTGCGCTCTATTTTGGAGCCCCAAAATGTACAAGGCAACGCCGGTGTGTGTGTGTGTGTGTGTGTGTGTGTGTGTGTGTGTGTGTGTGTGTGTGTGTGTGTGTGTGTGTGTGTGTGTGTGTGTGTGTGTGTGTGTGTGTGTGTGTGTGTGTGTATGTGTGTGTGTGTGTGTGTGTAAGCGAAGTTTGCTGCTACTCGAGTACTAGGCGCCTCGATCGGTTGGCCCAGATCTCGCGCAGCACCTGGGCCGGTGGAGCGCGGTAGGCGGGATACGACTCTCGCCGCCCCCCACCCTTCCTGCAGCAAGGTGACGTCAAATGAGTCCACATTCTGGGCGTTTGTCCCTCCCCAATCGCCCTACTGCTCACCCGCCCGTCCCCGTCGCCTGGCCCATCACCTCGCCCGGCTCGTCCACGCAATGCGCCTCATTGGTGTCCGGCTCGCAAGGGCATGCAATCTCGGCACGGTTGTACCACATGCCAAAGTTGATCACCAAGACACCTCCTCCTCCACCGCCAGCCACGGAGGGTGCGAGCAGCCCGCTACGCTCAAGCAGCGTCTGGAGCGCAGTGTGCGTCTCCGGGACGCAGAACCACTGGTGCAGATCTGGCCACTGGCTGCCGCTCCCAAATACCTGTTTGTGCGCCAGCGCGGACGCGGCCCACAGCTGGTTGGAGAGGGAGTCTCCGACAAAGGTCAACGGCCTTCGGCCGAGGCGTGCGACTGCGTCGGTCACCTACGGCCGGGCAGGTAACGTCTCCAGAGGAAAGGCCGCCAGGTGCGCCCCGTGTGTAAGTGTCGAGACCTCGAGGCGCGTGCAGCCGCTCTGCTGGACGTACACGTTGCGCTCCGCGAACTTGTGCACACGGTTGCACGGAGCAAGGTAGTGTGCATGGCCGTAGGCTTTGCGAGGAAGCATTGCCCGGTTCGAGCTGTTGCGAAGGGCGGCTTGATAGCCGGAAGGGACCATGCGTGTCTGCGTACGCCACGTGCCGGAGGAATCACGCAGCGAACCTCGGCAGGCCATGTGCGCACGGCGCAATCGCCAGCGAACCGCGCCCGCCGGGCCGGCCAATGCATCGCGAGTTGGAAATTCTTTTTCTTAAGTCGAATTGAACTTAGAAGAGATGATTTTATTTTCTCCCAGTCCGCTGCATTGTTGGGCGCCTTCATGAATTTGTTGCCAATTCTTTTTTCTCAACCGTAGGGGGGAGGGCGAACGGTGCCAGAAGGGATGCTGGGACGAGTCGTCGCGCGCCTCGCCCAGGACTACATCCGCGAGACGCTGGTCTCCAGCCCGCGCTTCCGCGCGTGGGCGAAAGCCACCGACAGGAACATCGCCGAGGCGCCCGGAAAGATGAAGGCGACGATGGAGCAGGCGGCAGCGCGGGCAGCCGGTCAGAGCCGCGTTGGCAGCAGCGGCGGTGGCAGCAGCGGGGCTCAGAGCCACAGCAGCGGCGGCGGCGGCAGCGGCGGCAGCGGCGGCGGCAGCGGCGGCAGCGGCGGCGGCGGCAGTGTCGGCGGCGGAGCTAGCCGTGCACCAGACTGGGGCGCGCGCGTCGCTGCCTTCGCGGCGGCTCTGCGCGAGGAGGTGAGGAAGGATCTGGGAGCTAAGTAGGTGATTGGTGTTGAGTGGCGCGTGGGGTGTAGAGCCGGCCTGCGTGCGTGGTGCGTGCTGCGTGGCGCAGAGCTGTGGGACGTGTGTCTCGAGTGTGTCGCGACCTCGGCGGAGCGAGTGAGCGCGCGATGTGGAGGGAGAGCGCGCGCGACTCCGCCAATATAAATCAGCAAAATAACACGTCATCTCCCCCGCCGACAGTGACACGTCATGCAAGGGGTTTGCGCGCACAACCCCGGTCTGCCTTGACTCGTACGTCGTACTCGTACGTCGCTACATGGGAGGGCTTCGTGAAGGATGGATTGAAAAACATTCGAACAAAGAAAAGGCGACGGGAGGAACCGGCAGAGGATGCAGTGACGTGACACACACACACACACACACACACACACACACACACACAGACACACACACACACACACACACACACACACACCGCTCACCCACGCGCACTGGGGGCCTTGCACTTTGAATGCCGTGGGGCTCCTGTCGTCAGACGTGGAGACGCGAGGGTTGCCCCCCCTTGCCCCACCACCTCGTGTGTGTGGAGAAGTTTACCTTACCTTACCTTACCTCGTACGTCGTAGCGCACCTCGCCGGCCGCCGACTGCGGACTGGACTCCGACTCGCCGTCGCTTGTGCCTAATCGGCGGAGCAGCTTGCCAAGCCCAGGAGCGGCGGCGGCGGCGGCTGCACCTGCGCCAAATCGTACAGCGGGACCAGCGGCGGCGGAGGCGGGAGGTGCGACGGGAGCGGCGGCAAGTGCGGCGGCGGCGGCGACGCATGCACCGCGGCGGTCGGCGGGATGGGAGGCTGCGCCGGGGCGACAGCCGCCGCTGCCGCCGCCGCCGCCGCCGCCGCCGCCGCCGCCGCCGCCGCTGGCGCAGCTGGCGCTGCTTGCGCCGCTTGCGCTGCTGGCGCTGCTGGCGCTGCTGGCGCTGCTGGCGCTGCTGGCGCTTGGACGCCGAGTCGGAAGCGACCGGCGCAGCGCGGGCACTGGTAGACGGTGCCGCCGCCCGTGTCGGCCGCACGGACGCGGAGCTGGTGGTGGCACTGCGGGCACGCGACGATGAGAGGCGCGCCCGCCTCGCCGCCCGCGTCGACCTCCCTACCCACCGCCGCCGCCTCGCCGCCGTCGCCGACCGCCGCCTCCGCTCCTGCCGCCACGGCGCCGCCGCCATCCGTGCCGCCGCCATTCGCGCCGCCGCCGCCGCTGCCGCCGCACGCGCCGTTGGCGTCGTCCGAGATGAACGTCTCGAGGCCGCGGGCGGCGAGGGGCGGGCCGGTCGAGATCGGCGCGGGCGCGGGCGCAGGCGCAAAGGGGAACGCCCACGACCCGAGGGCGACCGTGCCCGCCACGGGCAGCGTGCCCGCCACAGGCACCGCGCCGGCCACCGGGCCATACCGCACCCGGTTCCGCTCGTTGATGAGCTCCGCGCCCGGCACGTGCGGAGGGAGGGGCTGGTAGACGGCCGAGACGCCCGCTGCAGCTAGCCTCGCCGCCGCCACCCTCGGGTCGGCCACGAACCCGCTCGTCTTGGGGACCCGCGCCTTTCCGCTCCGCCGCGTCCCGATGAGGATCTCGTAGTGCTGGTGCACCGCGGCGGCGCTTCGGCCGCTTCCGAGCCGGGTCGAGATCTCCTGCCAGTAGTCCGCGCCGGCCGTGCCGCCCGCTCGCGACGCCATCACCAGAGCCAGGAGCAGCTCCTCCTCCGAGTCGGACCAGCGCGGCATTCGCATCGGTGCCTTGCGCTTTCGGGTCTTGCCCGCGGCCGCCGGAGCGCCCGCCGCAGCGCCCGCAGCATTGCTCGCCGCAGTGCCAGCCGCGACGAGAGCGGCCGCTGCGCCCGCCGCCGCCGCCGCGGGATGGCTCACGTTGGCCGTGCCGGTAACGTCGCTCGCGATCACGTCCACGCCGGCCGTGCCGTGCCGCAGAGAGTTTCGCATCAACGTGACGTCGTTCTCCGCAGGCGTCGCCATGTGGGACCAGCGAACCGCCCGCTCCGCCCCAAAGCAGGCTGCTGAGGCAGTTGGACCTCTAGGGTTTCACATTCACGGACGCCAGCCGCGGATATCGGTACTGTACGACCCAGGAGACAGCCCGACCCCAGGCACGCAGCGTACAGAACTACCTACACGACACATGCTGAAAGACACACGGGGGACGACATGGGCATGTGCGACATGGACATGCATGCACAGTACGGGCGAGCGAGGCCATAAGAAGGGGCCACCGGGTCACCGCGGCTTGGTCCTGTCGGAGAGGGCGGTCTGTGGACGCCTCTCCTCGCGGCGCGCGCCCCTCGGCGCCCAGTTGGCTCTAGGCGAAGGCCAGGTAGGCGGCGGCTGCGGCCACGACCGTCTCGACGGGGTTGTCCTTGAGCGTGCCCACGTCGAAGTCGTTGTTCTTGAGCTTGGAGAGGAGGCCGACCGCCCAGAGGACGGCGGTCAGCTTGGCGGCGTCTGGAGGCGAGGCGTGCGCGGAGACGGTGAGAGGCGGGAGGCGGGAGGCGGGAGGCGGGAGGCGGGAGGCGGGAGGCGGGAGGCGGGAGGCGGGAGGCGGGAGCTACGCAGCGCGAGCGGTGGAAGCGCACCGAAGGCCGAGCCGCCCACCGAGTAGACGACCGTCGAAGTGACGCCCGTCACGATGGAGATGATCAGGTTGGTGTTCCACACATCACCCGAAAAGAGCTTGGTGAGCTGCGTCTCGCCGACGTCGGCGTACTTGGAGGTGACGGCGCCCGCCGCGGTGATGGCGGCCGCGACCTTCATGCCGCCCTCAAAGTTGCCGGGGTTGAGCGGGCCGAGCGACATGCCGCCACGGAGCTTCATGAGGCCGGGCGCGGGCTGGACGGCCTGGTGGGCGGGCGTCGGGTGTGTGTGAGAGGAGGTGACGAACCGCAAGCGGCGCAGAGCCGGCGTACGCGAGTGAGTGGTGCGTGTGGGAGGGTTGGAGGACGTCTGCAGCGAGCGGTGCCGTCGTCGGGAGGGCACACGCAGGCGAGGGGACCCTGTCCTTCTCCCACCCCTCGTTTGGCGTGCCCGTTTTATTTATTTATTTATGTTTTCTTTCTTTCTTTTTTCGCAAAGAATGCAAAAAGCCGTCGTCTCCAAAGGCCAGGGATGCAGTAGAATTGCACAGAGCCGCACAACGTCAACGAGAGCGAGGCCCCCTCGCCCGCCACCGCACGGCGCAGCCCTCGCCGTCTAGACAACGCGATAACAAGATAGGGCAACACACGACTGCTACAACCGCACTTGGCCAACCAGCGGTAGCAGCGCGGCGTAATCACGAAGTGGTCCGAGCCGCCGCGGCGCCTGGCATAGGGCGTGCCCGCGGCGTCGCGCGTGCGCAGGAGCTGCTCGGACCAAGCGCGATGCCACGTCCCCCCCAAACCCAACACGCTATGAAAATAAACTCGGGGCGCACGCACGTACACCTTCTCCATTGTCGATCTCTCTCCACTAGCGACCTTCCCCTCGGCTGTCGGAAAAGAAAGAAAAGAGCCAAGCCAAGAGAGGGATGCGGGCGCGTGTTTTACATGTTCGGTTGTTTTCTTTTTTGTGCCAGAAAGAAAACGGACAACCCAAGGGAGGGATGGGAGGACGGCACGCCGCCACCACACAGGGATTTTTTGTGCCAGCGTGCGGGCGCGCAGAATTCTTTTTGAGTCCGCTGCGCTAAGCCATCCCGCAAGCGGGATGGCCCGACACTCGAACCCGCAAGCGGGCGTACGAACCGCGAGCGGCTCGCACTCGTGACACGCAGGCGTCCGACACACGGCGCCGGGGCTAGCTAGGCACCGAACGAAGAGGAACTACGGCAAGAACCGCACACCACCCGCTGACGAGCGCTCGCGGAACTGGTCCGTGTGTGTGTGTGTGTGTGAGAGAGATTGTGTTGAGTGTTGTGTGTGTGTGTGAGGTAAGGTAACTCTAAAACACAAAGTGGTGGGGCAAGGGGGGGCGACCCTCGCATCTCCACACCCGGACACACACGGGCAGGAAGGAGCCCCACGGCATTCAAAGTCTCTGTAACAAAGTGCAAGGAAGCACTGGCCCGGTGCACGATTCGATACTGCACGTGGCTCGTGGGTGAGCAGCCTGCCCCTCCCTCCCGACCAGGAACTCCCGCACACGTGAGAGGAAGCTCTGGACAACGGTGTCGTGGGGCTCCTTTCTAGACCTTCCCATACTGCGTTGGTGTCCAGACTCCAGTCCGAGCCTGACTGGCCTTGTGTCATGTGTCAGCCCAGGCGAGCCTTGGATAGCCTTTGTGCGAGAGACACGACACAAGACAATGCTAACAATGCAACACGCACGGGGCGGGGCGAGTCGGAGTGGTAGGGGCTAGGGCTGGTGACTGGTGGTGGCGCGGGCCCAGGCGCCACAGGCCCCAGCCTTTGCAGATTTTGCACGCGGCACGCGGGCTCTCCAGCGAAGCAGCGTCCACAGACCACACACCACAGCCGGTGGGGGCGCTCAAGACAAGTGTCGTCCTTGACCATGTAATTGGTGGCCCGAAAAAAGAAACGGGGACGCTGTCCTGTGCCATACATTAATCATTATACAACGCCGTTTTCGCTTCCACAGAAACACTTGTGCGCTCATAGATGATAGATCATACATAGATCGGTCTCCTTCGCGCTTCGCCCCCTGAGCCCTGTCATTCCTTCACCTTCTCGAAGCCGAGCAGCACGACCATGGCCATCGTGAAGGCCGCCGCCGCAGCCCACACAGCGGCAGCGCGGCCCGAGAACTCGCGGTAGAAGAGGAGGCTCCACGCGCCAGAGGTGACGAGATTGGAGGCCTGCCCGTGCCGCAATCGTGTCACGCTCCCCGGCTCTCTCTCTCTCTCTCTCTGTGTGTGTGTGTCTCTCTCTCCGTCTCTCTCTGTCTCTCTCTGTCTCTCTCTGTCTCTCTCTGTCTCTCTCTGTCTCTCTCTGTCTCTCTCTGTCTCTCTCTCTCTCTCTCTCTCTCTCTCTTCTCTTCTCTCCCTCCCCCTCCCTCCCCCTCTCTCCAGCTCCCCCTTCCCCTCGCCTGGAGCGTCACGGTCGGCATCTCTTCCTCGTCTCGCGCGTGTCTCGCGCCGTCCATCCACAAGTGGGGGGGGGGGGTGCGGTGGGCGGTGGGCGGCGGGCGGCGCCTGGAACTGAGCCACCGTCACCGCGTTGCCGCCCAGCTCGACGGCGAGCGTCGACAGCAAGTTGCCCGCCGTCCAGCAGAGGCCTGCGCCCAGACCAGGCAGCACCGCCGCGCGAAGCACCTCGTGCGCGAGATATGGCGAGATATGGCGAGATATGGCGAGATATGGCGAGATATGGCGAGATATGGCGAGATATGGCGAGATATGGCGAGATATGGCGAGATATGGCGAGAGATGGCGAGAGATGGCGAGAGATGGCGAGAGATGGCGAGAGATGGCGAGAGATGGCGAGAGGTGGGAAGAGATGGCGAGAGATGGCGAGAGATGGCGAGAGATGGCGAGAGATGGCGAGAGATGGCGAGAGATGGCGAGAGATGGCGAGAGGTGGGAAGAGGAGCACCTCGCTCCTCCGGGGGGGCGGCAACGGCGCGCCGCCGCACATTCCGGTCGCCTAACAAAAGAAATCCAATGCCGAAACCGACCCGTTGGAGCGGCGCCGCCGCGCATGCCGCGCCTAAAAAGAAATGCCGTCAGGATAGAAGGAGAAGACTCGTTGGAGCAGCGCCGCCGAACATGCCGGTCGCCGACGCAGCGGCGGAAAGAGCGGCGGTGATGGCGATCGCGCCGAGTCCGAAGGAGCAAGTCCAGGAGCCGAGTGGCTCGAGCTCCGGCGCCTAGAAGCTTCTTAGAAGCTTCCTAGAAGGTTCCTAGAAGGTTCCTAGGAGGTTCCTAGGACCGCCCCCAAAGGAGCAAGTCCACGAGCTCCGGCGCCTTGGGCGGCAGATGCCGCTGTGCCAGCGTGACCATCACGTACCTAGAAGGTTCCTAGAAGGTTCCTAGAAGGTTCCTAGAAGGTTCCTGGAAGGTACAGCGTGACCATCACGTACTGGACAGAGGCGAAGACGCCGGCGGCGGCCGCCAGCGCGTACCCAACGCGGTCAAAGGGCGGCAGAGGAGCGCCTAGAAGGCTCCTAGAAGGTTCCTGGGCGGTCCCTACCCATTGCGGTCAAAGGGCGGCAATTTCAGCGCCGCTGCCGCCGCCGCCGCTCCGCACGCCGCGAGAGTAGCCGCTGCCGTGCCGTGCCTCGCCACGCGAAGAGAGGGCGCCTAGAAGGTTCCTAGAAGGTTCCTAGAAGGCTCCCAGAAGGACCTCGCCCCGCCAAGAGAGGGCGCGATTCGGGTCGTCGCGGCCGCCGTCCTCGCTCGACGTCTCGGAGCCTACGAGGAGAAGAGTGCTCGCCGTCAACAGAAAAATGAAAGCCACCAAGGGACCTTCAGGCCCTCCCTCGGCCCTCGGCGCCAGGGCTAGCCGTTCGCACCCCCCCGGACTGGTCACTCCGCGCCATAGGCCTCCCCGGCACCACGGGCAACCCCTCCGCGTTTGCTCTGCGCGGGCTGTGCAGCGCCTCGCTGTCCGCCTCGCCCTCCTCCTCGGCGAGGACGAGGCGCGCTGAGGGGTGCTGCCTCGCGCGCTGCAGCGAGAGCCGAGGCGCAAAGATGAGACCCGCCATGCCGAGCAGCACGCCTAGAAGGTTCCTAGAAGGTTCCTAGAAGGGTCCTAGAAAGACCCGCCATGCCGAGCAGCACGCCAGCGAGGTAGGCGGGCGCGAGGAGGAAGGTGCCGCCGCCGTCGAGCGTGTGCACCTTGAGCCGCTCACCCAGCGCGATCGAGCCGGCGAGGAAGGAGGCGAGCGTCCCGGTGCCGGCCGAGGTGAGCATCACCGGCCCGACTCCGAGCCTCGGCACGGCTGCGATGGTGCAGAGCCCGGCGGGGATCCAGGCGGCGGCGGAGGCTACGGCCCACCACGTGAAGAGGAAGGGCTCACCGCTGCGCGCCAGCCGCAGCAGCACGAGGCACGCGCCGAGGAGACAGCAGCAGCTGGACTTTGCCGACTGGAAGAAGAGAGGAGGCACGCGAGCGGCGAGCACGGCGGGCCGCTTGAGAAAGATTGGGTAGGAGCCGTTGAAGAGGCCGGCGGCGATGGCGAGGGCGGTGCAGCTAATGCTGCTCATGGGAGCCCGCTCAGATAGCTCAAAAAAAGAATTCGTGATTTCGGCCTTCTCAAAAAAATAAAAGTGCTGACTGCGCCAGGACAAAGAGAAAAAATCTCGGCCCTTGACCAGAGGCTGTCCTCCGGCACCTCCCTGCTGCCAACGCCAATGGAGTGGCGCCTCGCGCGCCCCTCGCCCGGCGCTCAGCCGCACGTCTTGCAGACGCCAAACTGCGCAATCTCGCTCTGTGCGCACGCCTCCCGCTGGTCGGCGGGCAAGTCGCGGCAAGGCGTCGGCGCCGGCGTCTCGCACTCCACCCCCTTCGCGGCGCAGATCGCCTCCAGATCTGGAGACACGATGTCCACAAATAGCTTTTGCAGCCTCGGCAGGGAGCCGCGCGAGAGGGCCTCGGCGAGGGCGCGCAGGCCGAGGTCGCCGACGCGGTTGTAGTCGAGGTGCAGCCAGCGCAGCTGTGCGAGGCCGCCGCCGCCGCCCTCGTCGTCGTCGCCGCGCCCCTCGCCGAGGACCTGCAGGAAGGCGACGAGGCCATCGTCGCCAATGCGATTGTGCATCAAGCTGATGCCTTGCAGCGTCGGCAAGGCTCCGGCGGTCAGCGCGCGGCCGAGCGCGACGAGGCCGTCGTTGCCGATCAGGTTGCTGGGCAGGTAGAGCTCCTTCAGCCCCGACAACGCGCCTACCGCCGGCTGGGCCAAAGGGTTGGCCGCATGGAGAGGGGAAAGCGAGGAGCGAGACCGCGGTCCGCGCCGACGGCGAGCGAGGTGATGAGCTGCGTTATGGTCTCGAGGTATACCCAGGGCCCTCGACCGTCGCGCCGGTAGAGCCCGGCGAAGGAGCCGAGGTAGGCGCGTTCGCCGTCGCGGCTCACCGCGAGGTGCGAGTATGAGGGCTGGTCGTAGAGGATGTCCTGCTCGTGCCTGTGAGAGTCATGTTGGGCTTCTCTCTTGCGCATCCGTGTCACTATAGCCGCTTGGGGCGGACGTCATGATGGCGCCGGTGCAGGCCGATGCCGCCCTCCAGCCAGGCTGCGACGCCCGGGTGATCGTCGTCGTCATCTCTACCCTGCATCGTGGTCCACACCTAACCATCATACTCAATTTAGCAGCAATCGTCGAGAGCGCCGCCCCTGCCCTTGCGCAGCTGCTACGCACCCGTCCGGCGTTTTTGTTCGACTGCTCCAGCACAACCATCTCCCCTCCCTGCCGACCGGCGGCGAGAGGCTTGCCCGGCGTCGAGAGCGTTTCGTGGGAAGAGAGGTCTTCTTTTTCTTTTTCCCCCCCCCCCCCCCCCCCTCCTCCTCCTCCTCACTCGCCGCACCCTCGTCGTACCAGCGAGGGCCGAGGGGGCCCGTCGCCGGTACCAAAAAAGAAATCCCCGGTACCTAACTGCTGCTACCCCGTACCTAACTCAGTGCAAAGCACCTAACTCAGTGCAAAGAGAGGGAGGGGACATGTCCCGTAGGTGTCCTTCTTCATGTGCCCCGACGGCCGTCTCCGATCCATCGTCACCATTCTCGCCCTGTGCGCTGTCAGCGTGGCCATCGGCTTGGCTCTGGTGAACATGCACAGCGCAGTGACCTACACACCCAAGGAGCTGGCGGAACGGATGCAGATCGCTACGACGCGGCCAGCGACCCACGTCGCCATCTTCTACTGTGCCGCGGCATTGGGGGCGATAATCGGCTCGCGGCCTCCCGAGCAGCTCTCACGCCGTATGAGGTTGATCTCTTTCGCCCTTCTGGCCGCCATCTCTCTGAGCGCCGACGTCATCCTGTTCACTCGGAGCGGCGACGTTCGCTTCCTCATGGGACAGGCCTGCTTCAACGCGCCCATGGCGGTCGCGTACTGGCTGTCCGGCTCGCTCGCCGGGTTGCGGCTCCGGCAAGCCCAAGGCAGCTGATCGCGCGAGGCAGATGGTCCACGCGCTGCGTTCAAGTACTTAGGGGCCTAGAGAACACAACCCCTCTCCCTTTTCTCCCAGTAAAAGTATACGGAATTCGATTTTCGCGGTGATTTCGGGGCCCGAAGGGGGAAGAAGCCTTGCTCGGCACCGATGCCTCGCACCACGCGAGCGTCCAGGACGTGGTTCATCAGTGGCTGGCCGGTGACCGTCTCTGCTGGACACGCACAGTGCTCCCAGAGGACATTCCCACGTGCGGCGACGGCGGCCGCCGCGTCCTCTCCCCCGCCACCGGCGGCGGAGGCGCCGACGACACGCGTGCCGCAGACGCCGAGCAGGTCGTTGAGCTCCCGCGCCTAGCGACTCGAGCGCCACATGCAGCTCGCCTTCCGGAGAGCAGCGCACCTGCTCACACCGACGGCGCAGCGGTGATCCGCGCCTGCCGCAGTGCTCCCTCCCTTCTGCTGAGCAGCGCCCGCCTCCACCAGCGCCTCCCCCGCGCCGCCGAGCCGGCCTCCCACCCTCGCCTCGTGCAGCAGCGGCGCCAGCTCCTCCCGCACCTGGCACGGAGATATTCTCATCATGTCACAACCAAGAGCGAGGCTGTTGCCCTGGACTACTCGGGTGCGGCGCGGCGAGCGGCTCGATCTTTCTCATCGACTTCGACATGAACTCGCCCGGCGCAAGCATCCAGTTCCTGAGCAATACCCGCACGAGGAGCCATCCGTCCCGCCGTGCACCGGCCTCAAGTGCCTCCGCGCCGCGTGTCGGTGTCGAGCCGCGCGTCGAGCGTGCCGCCTCTTGGGTCCCTCGCCCGGAACGCGACTACTGCGCAGTCTACGGCCTGATGCGGAGCGGGGGGGGGGGAGAGGGGGACCCGTCGACCAGTCCGGGACTTGCGAGCTGTCCGGGTAGATGGCTGTGCGCCTGTGGAGGGCGCTGCGCTGGGGGGATGGCGCGCGCCTCGTCGACCCGGAACACTCCTTCGGTGGGCGAGGGGGTTGCCTCGCTCCGGTGGATGACGGACACGGTGACCTTTTGCGCA